CCCCTTTTCCTTCCCCATAGCGTAGCATGGCAAGGTGGACGGGGGCATGACTACAACAAAAAATGGGGAGGGGTGTTGTGCTGGGGCTCAATCGACGCCTGCATGCGGTGATGCAGCGTTGGCGAGGTTGCAAGCAAAGCAAGGGGTAGGTACATGTGGTGTCCTCGTTGATGAAAGCCCAACACAGGAACTACGATGGCGTCAAGGGATGCTAGAACTAGCTATATACCTGTGCGGTTTTGTAGATAGAACGAAATTGCTACACCTATGAACCAGTCTTATGGAAGTTGTCCTACGGAGAGACATGGCGGCCTCTATAATGGCATCTTCAGTGGGGAGGCGCTTATTTAGACACTAGAGAGGAAAATAAATGAGAATATTAGGTTAGTGTGCATGTAAGAGTCGGTGTACCCAACGGTAGCGCCCTTGCATAGGTGTTACACGAAAAACAAAATGGGAAATGATTTGATCCGGCTGGCCGGCCGAAGCTTTTGGCCGGTCTCACACGTGTCGCACCATCTAATCTAATTCGAAGTCTCACATGTCACATGCCAACCTCGCACACACGTCCTTTTTTAGGTTGGCCCCACTTCGCACATTTTCACCTGCCGCCAGGGGTGGGCCCAGGATTTTAAGAGTGTGTATTCAAAATCTTAAGTGCTTACAGTTTTTGGACAGCCTCTTGTTTTTGGCATGTATAAATGATTATAGCACCATTTTATATGAATTATATAATATATAAAAGATAAAACATGGAAATAGGAATAGCATCATAGATTCATCTCTAATTGATCTCAACTCGAATTTTTTTGATCTAGGATCATAACTTGGAATTGTTCAATGTATGAAAGTACTCCCTCCGTTCCAAAATTCTTGTTTTCTATTTGTCTAGATACAGATGTATCTAACACTAAAATGTAACTAAATACATCCGTATTTAGACATATCTAAAACAAGAACTTTGGGACCGAGGGAGTACTAATTACTCAACATATGAAGTGGCAACATCTAACAACAATTAATGGAGGGTACAGTCACTTGTAGTACTAGTGCCAATACATCAAAATAAATTCACATCCGGTACTACTAATGCCAACTTCTCCAAAACATCCAAAACAAAAGAACATTTACCCAACAAACGACTCTGTAGCGCCTCCATAAAAATGAATCTGGGCAACCATCCAAGAATTAACCTTTTTTTGTGGGTATCTATCTAAGAATTAACCTAAGAGGTCATAATGCACATCTGAGAAAAAATAAAAAACGTATCTCGAAATATTGATGTGTCAACTGACGAACGAGATCGACGCCTCGACTCAATCTCCACCCCGGATGCATGTGCGTCACCGTCGCGTGTCAGCCCGCCACCGTGCGCGATGCCCCTGCCGCCGTGTGGCTGTGGACCGTGATTTTTTTCGCGATGAGAACTGGGAGCGTGGGCGGTGCAGTTCATCTGATCGATCGATCGATCAGGGCTGCGTGTGATTGCGCCCACGACCACTATATAATTTTCAATTGGGCTTGGACTGGCGTACTAGGTATGTTTGGATGGCAGCCGAGAGCTACCATGCCAATATTTTGGCGTTGACCATCAGCTTGGGAAGGCGTTTGGATTGGTGCCAGCCTCTTCTTACCTTGTCAAATTTTTGGTCGCTAGTACACATCCCTTTCACTTTTTACGCCCATGCGTTGGCATGGCAGAGGCGGCAGAATTCTCCACCAAAAAAATTGGCAAGCCCTCAGTTGGCAGGGCAGCCCTGGGCACTAACCAAACAGCCCCAGGTGAAGAGAGAATTGGGCCACTAGGCCATGTTGGAGCGTGAAAGGGAGAGAAGCACGAGGTGGGCTGGCTAATCCTTCGGCTGGAAGCGGTACAACCTCTGTTATTCAGTGTAAATCTCGTTTTTCTTTCATACAGTACATGGAAGAGTCTCTAATATATACATAATATTTTGGCCAAAATAATGGGTATTCAAGTGAATACCCATGAATTGTACTGGGCCCGCCCCTGCCTGCCGCCCAGTTCCATCCTTATCCCCTCAGCCCAACGGTCCCCTTTCCTCCAACTCACGTCATCCCTAGCGGCCCCGCGAATGCCTGCACCATTCACCACCATGGTTCTACCCCAACACCACAACCGTCAACGGCCAGGGCGAACGCGACTATAGCAGTCACCATGGCCGCGAGCTGCGACTAGCTCGGAGCAACAGCTAGGAACCGCAGTCGTGGCATGTTGTGATGGCTTCGTCAACGAGTTACAACTGGTAATCTCCATGCTACACGTTTAGTATCGAGAGTTCGAGACTACTAATGATTGGTATGGATGTGTAATTTAGACTTGAGAAAGCATGAGACAATCATATTTATGTATTATATCAAGTTATTTAGCTAGATATCAGATTTATGTATTATATGAAGTTGTTCTATGGAAGAAAGAAAATGACTTGTTAAAAATTTCAGACCCACCAAAGAGTGCAAAAGTTTCAGAAATTTCCAAGATTATTTCAGATTTCTACAATGTAATACTGATCGGAATCCCACAAAATTTATCAAAAACAGTTCTTATTCAAAACATACACAATATGCTATATAATATCATCTCTAAAGTGTAAAAGAACTTGCAAGCAAACATTGTAACTCAACATCATCAGCATGCTCCAAAGTCTAAATTGCAGTAGAAGAAGTCCATGTCCTAGGGCAACATGAGTACTATTATCTGTGATAGGCTTCTCTAGTAGCAACTCACAAACGATTATCAGCTAATTACTTCTCAATGAAGTTGGTAACTTGATTGATCATGTTTCGAGGTCTTACGATCAAAATTTGTTTAGTTTCTCTATTAATATCGATTGAATGGTCGATCCTAAAGATCCCACTCCCCACTCTTCTTGTATCACAAAAACGCAACATTTTGCAATGCTTTGAGCCAAATATGTAAAACTTTAACCACAAACTTCATTTTCTGTATTCAGATTGGATATTTGGAAATCATACGTTTGGTTTGTCTCAAAAAGTATTTGTAGAATCTTATATTATTTTTTGGTTTTAATCTTACGTAAGAATGGAAATGAACAGATGGAGTAGGGGAGCCAGTTTTGGAGGCACTAACTGATCCACTCAACAAAATGGCAAGTCTTAACACCCAAGAAAAGGTTTCTGTTCGTCCTAACGCCATTAACACTCTTATACAAAGCTCATGCAGTAAGAAGGAGAAGATAACCAAAGCATGTAAATAAACAGCAGTAAATAAAGAACGATTTCGTTAGAAAATGGGGCACATACATCAGAACAACGCATTTGATTGAGTACAAGACTTGACCCACAGTCCTACACCATCGACCTGCACTCAAATCACATACCAAAAATAAAAGCCAAGATAGAGATCAGGCACTGGGGGAGGTGACGGAACACGAACACGGCCGCGGCGGGTCCGTACGTGCGGAGCAGGTAGTAGTAGAGCTTGGGGAAGGCTTCGAACGCCGCACGGCTGATGAGCAGCCCGGCGGCTCCCGGCCCATGCATCATCACCATCGGCCCGCAGAAGAAGGCGCACGCGGCCGCGACCAGCGCCAGGATCCACAGGGGAATCATCTTCTCGCCTCGCTCCTTCGATCGGCCGCCTTGTTGCTGCTGGAGTGTTCGTTCTGGAGCAGAGGAGCGGAGTGAAGGATGCAAGTGTCGCTGGGATGGTGGGATTTTATAGCGTGCGGCGGTCCATGCTTGGCGCCGCTCCTCCGGGAAGTGGAACGGTGACTGCTGCCGCATTGGCTGTGTTTGTATTTACCTAGGGAACCAGAGAGCCATCATACCAGTCCTCGAGAAGGGAGACGACTTATGCATGACCGGAGAGCTCGTCCACAGAATGAATCGCATTGGAAAAACTCGTACTCCTACAGTCCTACTCCCTCCGGTCCTTTTTACTCTGCACATTGAATTTGCCGAAAGTCTAACTTTATTAAGTTTGACCAAATTTATATTATAAATTATTATCATCTATAATATCTAATAAATATAATATAAAAATATATTCCAAGACGAATCTAATAATATTGGTGTTGTTATGTGAATGTCTATAATTTTTTATAAAAACTTGGTCAAAGTTGGATGAGGTTGACTTCGGACAAACCTAATATGCAGAGTAAAAAGGACCGGAGGGAATACGTCATAAATAAAATATAAATTCCTTGAGATCTCTCTTACAAAGCGAATCAAAAGATACAACAAAAATCAACAACACCGAACAGTACACGGTCGAATGATAAGTGAAGAAGAGAAGGCTCTCTTACAAAGCGAATCAAAAGATACAACAAAAATCTTATAGCTAGCCTAACACCTTACCTCGAACCGACAGACGATGGCACAACTCCACAGCAATGCCCCTAGGAGGATGACGACACAACACGTCGCTGCTGCCGAGCCTAAGAATAGACAAGGATTTTCATCCAAAGCCCTCGAACATGAACGAAACCCACGGCTATGCCTTCAAGAAAAGAATGACACCCACATGCGCCGTCATTGTCGCGCCAAGCATGAACCTGTCGCTCAGGAACTCGCCACTGCCACCAGGAGGTGCCCCCGATCAGCACCATAGTGAGAGTTAGGCCAACCACACTAGATCCGGGCATCAACAAAGCATGCCGGAGCCTCCCGTCCCTACACCCTGGTCGCCCACACAGCTAAGAGGTGAAGGCACCACCGCCGCCATGAAGCCTGCCAGAAAGCACATTGTGGAGCCCATCACCTAGGCCGCTGCCACGCCGTCCTCTGCCAACTCAACACCGACGCCAAAACTCGTGGTTGCCTCCCCAACTAAGCCACGAGCCTCCACCACGACATTGACAGAGAGAGCCAAAGCAAGCACGGAAGTAAAGCCAGCCTTCGACAGGGGTACCAAATCCAACCCCTGCCCTGGCGACCAGCATGTGCCACCGACCAACTGTCAACAACTGCTACCCGAAGAGGAAGGGGTCGTGCTGGCAGAACCAACAACTCTAGATCTAGACCGGGGGGGATGACAGTCGGCACCTCCGGCCACCCGGTGGTAGCCGGTACCTCCAGCCGCCAAGCACTCTGTTGGCTCTTTGCGACTCGCTCCAATCCCACTACACCACCACTGAAGGCCGACGCACCAACCAACAACAACCTACAGCCACGCACCCGCGCCCCCGCAACCCGACAATGCCGGGCAAGCGCCACCACCACCACGCTGCAGCCACCCCCGCCCATGAGCACGAAGGAGGTCGTCGACTGAGGCACAAGCCGTCCCGCAACCACGCCACCCAACAGTGTCCCCGGATGCCGCCACCGCAAGCCTCCCGAAGCTGTCCCCGGTTCGCAGCGCCACCACGCGCTGCAACCTCTGGCGGAAGAATGAGCCGACCGCAACCCAGGCCAACCGCAGTCCTTGGCCCCATGGGGCAGCACCGACCCGCCGCCCCCGGTCCGCACCGCCACCACGCGTTGAAACCTCAGACGAAAGAACTAGCCGACCACAACCCAGGCCAACTGCAGCCCTCAACCCCATGGGGCAGCACCGACTCGCCGCCCCCGGTCCACACCACCACCTTCGCCACCTGCGTGGGTCCAAGGAGCACCGCCCAATAGAGACCCAACTAGGCCTCCACACATTCACGCGCCGCGCGCCGGCCCCCAGGCCACAGATCCGGCCATAGGCCAACCCGTGCGCCGCCACCAAAAGGCAAGGCTCCCGCAGCCGCCGCACCTCGCCATAGGCTTCAGCACGCCATCGTGCCACCGCACAAACGCACCGGCACTTGAAGACCCGTCGCCGTGGCGCTAGGCCCCATGGCAACCTCGCGCTCCCGCCCAAGGAGCAGTCCCGCGCCTTCCTCGAGCCCGTGCGAGAGGAGGCAGGGCCCCGCCGCAACCCATGCCGGCCAACCTTTGCCCTGCAGCAGGGGAGGAACGCCGGAAGGAGGCAGCGCGCTAGGGTTCGCCCCCGGGGAGGGGAGGCTCAGAAATTATCCAATTCTCCCCACTGTCCAAATTTGAATAACTGTTTGAAATGCCCTTTTTGTACTATGTCACTGCAGGAATGGTCTTAAAAGCAAATTTAAGAAAAATGAATTCGATAGTTTAGACAGAGTACTCTTAAGTTCGCACAGTAGTTTACGTAAACAAATGACATTTCAATACACGAGCAGCATTTCTTTCACTGAGTCACCATCAGGTGGCATACTAGTACAACATGACCTAAAACGCGATCACCTTGAGTTCGGCCAGTTGTTTCCATGAGCAGAAAATACAGAATCCTACACCGATAAGCCAGTCCTGCAACTTAGCCATACCTACATAACAACAGTACAATCATGACGGTCAAATACTTAACTATCTAGAATATCAAGGCATGCGCAATATAGTCTAAGTATCATTGGGGAAACATTCGGCTTACTTACAAGCATGGTATACTTATATGTGAACTGAAGTAGAACTACTTACAAGAGCACGTCATTAGGCTGGTCATAGTGGGAGTAACATAGGTAGTAACATAGATGCCACATAAGCAAAAATTGTTGATGTGGCAAGTAGTTAATGAGAAGAGATGCAAATAGAATAACCTAATATGTTACCATCACATAGCGTTTTCCAATGCAAAATGAGTCTGCAAGACAATAAATGAACATGTGTATGTTACTACACATATGACACTTCTCACTATAAGGGTAGTAACATAGAGTAGTAACGTATGCATGTTACTACTCTAAGTTACTCCCCACTATGACCAGCCTTAGAAGTCAAAACAGAGCTTCAAGCCTTTCACAACTGTTTTCATTACCATCGAAGGTAGAAAAGAGGGCTTTGGTCCACCCTGGGTTAGCCCATTAGTCCCGGTTCGTGCGCCCAGTGGCCACGTGGGCCATTTGTCCCAGTTCGTCTGGACCTTTTAGTCCCGGTTGGTGCCACGAACCGGGACTAAAGGGTGCGATGCCCATTAGTACCGGTTCGTGGCACCAACCGGGACTAAAGGTTAGACCTTTAGTCCCGGTTCGAGCCACCAACCGGTACTAATGGGGTTTGAGGCATTAGTACCGGTTCATGGCACGAACAGGTACTAAAGGTCACATTTTCAAACTCCAACCCCCCTCCCCCCTCCCCCCCTGGATCGCCTTTTCAGTTTTAAAAAAATAAAAGAAAATGATGAAAATGTCAAAAAAAAATAAAAAGAATAAGTTTCCCATGTGATATGTGGTCTAGTTGTTGGGAAACTTTGCAAATGTGAATTTCGACTTTATTTGCAAAATCTCTCTAGAATTTAGTAAAATGGGCATAACTTTTGCATACTGACTCGGATGAAAAAGTTACGGGGCTTTTAAGATCTAGAGTGGAAAAAATCGAAAAAAATTCAAACTGTGGTCAAACAATGGTCAAACTAATTATTCTAGAATATTAGTGTTACTAAATAATTATTTTAGTTATTTTGAATTTTGGTCAAATTGTGGTCAAACTATGGTCAAACAATGGTCAAACTAATTATTCAAGAAATATTAGTGTTACTAAATAATTATTATTTTTTAAAACAATAGTTTCAAACTCAAACAGTGAAATGTGTCACTTCATGCTCACGCAAAATTCCCGTTAAACATTTTCAAAATCTCAAAAACCTAACAGAAAAAAGCTACGGGGCTTTTTAAGATCTAGAGTGGAAAAAATCGAAAAAATTTCAAACTGTGGTCAAACAATGGTCAAACTAATTATTCTAGAATATTAGTGTTACTATTCAATTATTTCAGTTATTTTGAATTTTGGTCAAATCTGGTCAAACTGTGGTCAAACAATGGTTAAACTAATTATTCAAGAAATATTAGTGTTACTAAATAATTTTTTTTTAAACAATAGTTTCATACTCAAACTGTGAAATGTGTCACTTCATGCTCACGCATAATTCCCGTTAAACATTTTCAAAATCCTCATAAACTTAACAGAAAAAAAGTTACGGGGCTTTTAAGATCTAGAGTGGAAAAAATTAAAAAAAAATCAAACTGTGGTCAAACAATGGTCAAACTAATTATTTTAGAATATTAGTGTTACAAAATAATTATTTCAGTTATTTTGAATTTTGGTCAAATCTGATCAAATCTGGTCAAACTATGGTTAAACAATGGTCAAACTAATTATTCAAGAAATATTAGTGTTACTAAATAATAATTATTTTTTAAATCAATAGTTTCAAACTCAAACAGTGAAATGTGTCACTTCATGCTCGCGCAAAATTCCTGAGGGTTAATAAGATTGACATCTTACTATTGTCAGGAAAACAACAAAACAACAAGTGCAGACTTGGAAACGAGGGAGAATAGAACCCGGAAGTTAAGCGTGCTCAGGCTGGGGGAGTGGGAGGATGGGTGACCGTTCGGGAAGTTAGATGATTAGGAATGATGAGGGATGATTAGAGATTAGAGGATAAATTGAGCAGTGATGAGGGGTGGTGATTAGAGATTAGAGGTTAAAATAATTCAGAAATTTAAAAATAAAAAAAATTCAAAAAAAATTCATAAAATTTCCTAAAGGTGGAGCTCCACGTGGCCGCGACCTTTAGTCCCGGTTCCAGTTTGAACCGGGACTAAAGGGGGGAGGCATTAGTAACGATCCTTTAGTCCCGGTTCAAGAACCGGGACTGATGCCCCCTTTTCTACTAGTGGTTAACAAGCTAATAAATTCATGTAACCTGGAAACATTTTTATTTATGAACCTAGTGAAATGACAATATATAAAATACTGATCAAGTTGAGAAATTGATTGCACATATAACAAAAGCAACATCTGACATGACTAGAGATGCTTATCAGTTATAACTTATCAGTGCGTGCTAACAGAGACTGTACTAACTAGGATTCTGGCAAAGTAGTGGATGCCTTACAAATTACAAAAAGAGTTAATACACATAGGAAAAAACCATCATCAGCCAAAGCCCATGCGGCCACAAATTGTAAAATAGCATGGACATATCTAGGAAATAATGTTAGTCACCTTTTGAGTCACCACATCATACTAGCATGTCTCACCAAACAATCATCTCACATATTGTTCACTTCATCTCCACCATGCCCATCACCAATGCCAGTACCTATACGAGAATAATGAGTCAGGAACAATTGGCAATTCTGATGGAAAACCAAAGAACAGAGAGACTTATAATGGGATACCTAGGTGAACCGAGACTGCATAGTAATGCAATCTGAGAAAAATAACACGAGCCAAAGAAAATTATTTATTCTCGAGTGCAGAACTATAAATGGACTCCTCACTTCAGGAACATATTCAGCAAAACATAAAATAGGACTTCAGTTTATTCAACTGGGTTCAGCTTCCAAATAAAAGAGTGTAACTAGTTTTAAGCTTCAAAAAGTGCCAATGGGGTTACATATTTGGTTAGCTAGGTCTCAGCTTCCATTTAGTTCTCTTTCATTTTAACTCTTATGTGTCAGTCACACGTTTCAAGAGAACGGCAGACAACCTGGTCCAGTACTGACTATTACCATAACACAATCCACGCGAGAGATAAGATACTTTCTAGAAATCATCTTTAGTAAACTCAATTCCTTGTCAGACCAAGTGGAAGAAATAAGACATTATGAAAACCAAAAATCCACCGAGAAACATAATAGGTTCGGCCTATTTTTATTTCCAGCTGTGCATCTAAACTAGCTAATATTAACAGGGCTCTCCACAATTGACAAGAACTATTGTGTCGATTTCCAACTGGTATGCATCCGGTGCTGAAAAGATATATACTTCAGATAGACACATAAGAGTACATTTGACACACCATTTATGCATATAAGAGCGTCTAGATCACTACTTTAGTGATCTAAACGCTCTTATATTTCTTTCCAGAGGGAGTACTTTTTTCTTTTAAAAGAATTCATCAAGTAGCAAAAGGAAAAATTGGTGTGATTAGAACTTCAATCATCAGCACAATACCAAAGGATATGATAGGCATTTCAGCAACTAAAAAGTAATTTTTTTACAGGGAAAATGTATGTCAATCCCACTAGTCTTCCTTGAATTTCTGACTTTGCCCTTTTTAGGTAACTATGAAACTGCCACCCTTCCATCCGTTTTATTTATGCTTTTGCCATTGTCGTCAATTACTTTTCAGCAGTAACCACCCCTTAATGGTCCATTTTGCTAGCCCCACCAGTCACTCATTTTGCATGAGAAGATGAAAAAAACAAAAAAGTGGCATTTTCATAAATAACTACTCCCTCTGTCCTATAACATAATAACGTTTTTCGAAAGTAATTCAATTCCAAGGAAAGCCAGTAGCAATGACACAAGTTTCACAATTTTATTATACTGCAAACAAAATTATATAAAGGCTTGCTATTACCTGCGGCATAGCAATATTCAAATGGATAATGGCGACCTAAGAAGTTCATTTTGGAAAGTTTCTTCAACTCCATTGACTGGAGATAGACCATGAAGAAACAAAGACCTAACTTTAAAAGGATTGCATTACTCTCCTCGGCAAACCCCACTAAACAGAGGTAGTATCCCTCCCGA